TGGGGCCTATGAGAGAACAACCAGAGAATTTAAACAATTTTATAATAAAAAAGAAATAAAGATCAACATTGCTCTTGTTTGGAAATGAAGGCCCAAATCCTGCAGTCTTTGCTTGACTAAAACTTTCACTGAAGCTGATGGGATTTTTACCTAAACAAGAAATTTAAAAAGGTGGGATTTCATTAAGAAAAGATCCTAAAAGGCAACCCAAAGGAAGACAGAATCATCAAATACATAGCCAAAATGGAAAGATCTGCTCCCTTTTGAATTATACAGTGCTGCTTTGTTGCTGTTACAAAAACTGTTTAATACCATGGAAACTATCTGATAAATGTACTAAAGCTCTATAATTTTATAATATTGTGGTAACAATGTGATGATTCTTTTTGAGAGAGGATTTTTCTTAAAGGCCCTGGCTTCTAGGGGAAAGTAACTTTTCCAAAAATAAGCTACCTTTTAAGCTGAAATGTTTCAGTTTCAGCCTAAATGCAAAAAGTTTTAGAGAAATGAAAAGCAGACCAAACAGAATTGTCTTAAGTTATTGCAAAACACAGGAGATGATGGATACAGAAAGTATTTTTCCAAGTATAAAAGATCACTGAGGTATTTTGCGCGAGTCCCAGTAACACAAAAAATAGCTAACAAATCAGCTATTTTAAATCTATGTAACTAGTCTCCACAAAGGAGCACTCTGTCTAACTTAATAAAACCTCACAGGTTATTAATGAGAGGAAAATTACTGTGTGCAGAACATTATTTTCATGTCCAATCTCAGAGCACACCATTCAAGACTTCTATGTATGTTCTCATATGAGCATATAAGCAAGTCAGACACCTGCATGCATACCTTCACCATCTGAACTCTTTCAATACAAGTATTATTCTCCTATGCCTCTGAATTCCCACCACCACTTTTAAAGACAGTGCAGGAAATAATCTGGAAAGTATGGCAGTATTTCGGTTGGATTCTGGAGCCTAATGGTTAAAATACAGAATTTTTATTCCATCCCAACAATTTCCCTATTGGCAGATTGCATGCCGGCTGATCTGTAGGTACTTTAGAGTAAAAATACAGTAAGTGAGCCAACTTAATTTTAATGAATGTTAAATACCTGCCGTCCAAAAGACACCCCTAGCCACCACACACAAACACACAAAACCACTACTTCTGTGTTTAAGCCGATGTAACGAGAGTCATGTCCTGAAGGTTAAACTAAAACTATGTCGGACCAATAGGCTGAGGTGGAAATATAAATTCCAAAGCCAAGGGCCCTCCACTACTCAGAACCTAACTAGTCATTCTGTATAGCAGGGGTGACAAACATCCAGCCTGCAGGCTGGATCCAGGCTATGAAGCCATACAATACAGCCTATGGAGCACTGGACCAACCACATACACCAGCCCCAGCCTCACACACTGCAGGCAGCACGTGGGCAGGACCTGGCACCAGGGGTCAGTCTGGGATGCTGCAGCCCCAGCCTCACACACTGCAGGCAGCACGTGGGCAGGACCTGGCACCAGGGGTCAGTCTGGGATGCTGCAGCCCCAGCCTCACACACTGCAGGCAGCACGTGGGCAGGACCTGGCACCAGGGGTCAGTCTGGGATGCTGCACACAGTCCAAACCCCAGAGCCCCTATGCCACACGCACAGTGAGCCCCAGGGTTAGCATATGGTGCACACAGACCACAGGCAGGGCTGGACTAGTTGTGTGCACTGCACACAGCACATGAGGCCAGCACCAATTGTGCACTGCCTACAAAATGAGGACTGAACCCAGCGCCTTGGATGCTCCACAGTCCCAGTCTGGCTCACAGGTTGGCTCAGCAATGCTAATCTGGCCTTCAGGGCCAAATGAGCCTGACATCCCTGCTATACAGGATACAATGCACTGAGATGGCCAGCGCACACAAACACTGAAGTGAACTTCAGATCTAGGGATCATACATTCAAACCTAGTTAAAAGTACAGTTATTCAAATGTATGACAGCTAGATCACACTTTCACACCTTCACCTCTCTCCTCCCATTTCCCCTCACTTGAAACAGAGGGAGGAAAAAAATCAAGTTAATTCAATGTTATACAAGAGATTTTTGCCTCATGAAAGAATTATGCAGTTCCAAATAGGCTCAGTTACACCAGTATAAATTCAAAGTAATGCAATTGTCCTCTGTACTTTAATTTACACCAATAAAACAGAGCAAACTGTGGTTTCTAAAAGGCACAAGGGGACTCAGCTTCTGAGCACATGAACTGTACATAGGCACAAAGCTACACCTCATATTAACCACCACAAACATTACTACTATTTTTAGCTATGTTCAGTGATTTCATTTTTTCACATGCTTCTACTGGAAAAGCAATACAGAAGATGCTGTAAATCCTACTCATTATATTTTAGTTCCTGAATAGAGGGTCACAGTTCAGAGTTGCATGGAATTCAAGGACAGCCCCTCCTGCACTGCATACTCTCTTCTGTTACCTGCAGTGACTCATTTCTATCTGAAATGCTATTATTAAAAAAGAACCAATAATAAACTACCCTATCAGCTTGCTTTGGTTTGTGGACTCCCACGTTTCTATGGCGGGGGGCGGAAACCAAACTTAAAACCCTACAAAAACAAGACACTTCACTGCACATATTTTTCCCTCAGGGGAAAGAATGAGAGAATAGACCATGTCTGACAGATGTGCAGTCACATCACTTACTGCACTACTCCAAGGTACACAGGTATTACTGTAATGAGTGCACCGTAAAAACGTACAAAGAACAGAATGGACACTGTCCTGCTGTTCTGCTTACTCCATTCTTGTAATTAAGGAAAGTTTTGAGGCTTGTAAGAAGCCTGTTCTTGGAGAACAAGCTTTCTGTAAATGTCAATGCCTTACATGCTTAAACAAAGAAGCAGAGGGATGTATCCTATGCATATGTGCACCTGCAGCCACAATATTCCCTCCATCACACACACAAAAATAGGCTTAAAATTAAACTTGAGAGCTATCAACCTTGAAAACTTTCCTTTTGCATACAAATGTTATGCTTGAAAGACAGCCAAAATAATGAGAACTAATTTTAGGAACTACATACCCCCAAATCCCTCTGCTAATTTTTGCAGCTTTTATAGTGGACATTTCTAAAAATGTTTCTTTCTTCTGTGCCTGTATGAAACACCCTTATAAACAATATGGGAAACTGATACTATACATGTGTTAAGTATAAACCTAACATTTTTGTTTACAGTTACAACTTTAAACGACCATCCAGGAGAAATAGCACAAAAAAGACTGCGTGTAGAATCCTGGCAAATGCACAAGGAAAATAAAACATAATTTTCTAATTTCTTAAGGTTATATTCTCATTACTTTAGTATTCTGAGGTAATACCTTTAATAATAAAAAGGAAAAAAAATTCCAATGTTTCTAGTTGATCTGGAAAAGATGTACAGTACTCCAGTAAGATATCTACTACTAATAATGTGTGGATATTAGGCCCACAAACTGATCTACTCAGGTATATCTCTGTATCTCATTGAATCCCTCATTGAAGTCAGTGGAAGGGAGAAAAATAACCGGAAGAGCAAATCCTTCATTTGGAAGCCAGGGCACTGTAACTCACAATGGTATTCCAATATTCCGTGTTCCCTTCCATCTGTTTGTTACATCTTATGCAGCCTTATACCCCAAACACGTACGCACAGGCTCATCTTTACTACCACCGAGTGACCTCATTGATTTCAATGGGACTATGCAAAGGAGACAAGCTCAGAACATGCACATGTATTTGCAGGATCAGGGCCTCAGGCAGTAGGGATCACAAATTCTTTGATCAAAGTGACTCACAACTGTTTACCTTCTGAGAATTAGCCATTTTAATCAAAAGGTCAAAATGTTTCCACTTTTCTGAACTCAAGCTATAAGAATTTTAAAAGGAAAGTGTCAAAGACTTGTCAATGACAAGCTGCAAGCGTAATTAATCCTTACATTGTTGAAAGCATACCAAAATCTACATCAGCCCCACTATAAGACACTGTTACAAAAGTGAAAACTCAATAGTCATCCACTAATAACAAATCCCTGAATTTATCCTTCCTTACCTGGCAACCAGGTTTTATTTGAATTAAAAGATATTGAATGTTCTATCTGTTTTTCTTCTATCTTCCAAGGAAACACAAGCATACAAATACCCCAGAATGATGATTACAAGTCCATTTTACGTTTCAACGCTCTAATTACAAATTAATCAGATAGCTAGAGGAAAGAGATAGGGGAAACGCATATCTGCAAATCCAAAAGGTAACGGGCCTAATATTAAGCCTCCTAGCTTCAATACTGTCTAGAATTAGTTAAATCCAATATCAATGACAAAAATAATCAACTACAGCATCAACACTAGTTATCTGCACTGACATTTTCTTTGCTTATAAACAAAAAGGAGACTGATGACATGAAAAAGATTTGCACGTGATGCCACAAACCCCTTCAATATGCAGTATTCAAAAAAGCATTTCTGGACCTGATTCTGGGAGTTACTGCACCCACACACTCGCACTAAAAAAAAAAAAAAAGTCAGTGAGTTGAGGCGACATGGCCCATTCAGGGAGTGCTAAGCCTATTTTAGGAGCCTACCCAAATTCATACTCCTCACGCTTGCTCAGAACCCCATTAAAAACCTAGTGCCACATTAAATTAAATGTGGCAAGTTAAAACTTAGACAAAACCTGTCTGCCTGCAGAGCCCAGGAAATGGTTCTGTTCTTATTAGCATCCAGACCTTCCACAGGTATTACTAACAGTTACCATACAGCACAGAGGCAAGACTTCCACTTTAAAGATATCAACTGATGGCAACATTTTTGCAGTTTGAGAAGCTGGTTTGTCACCTTTTCTCACTTACATGCTACATTTCCTCTCAAATTTCTGGCACAACAAAACTTTTGAGCACAATTTTGGTGTCAACTGTAAAAAAAGTATTTTAATTGCACACAAAATCTTGAGCCTTACCTTTTAGCAGAGGCAGAGGTGTTAATTCAATAGGCTTGCCCTGAGACCTAAACTGGGAGGAGCTTTGCGACCTCTTCTGCCTGGCTTTTCTGACGGACTTCCGAGAAAATCCGTCTACTTTATCCACTGACGGAGGAGTGGTTGGTGCTGAGGACATATCCCTACTGAAAAGAAACAAGTGTTATAAGTGCATTCCCAATGCCCAGAAGTAGGTAAAGATTAAATGAATTTGCCAAGAGTCGCTTTTTGCCTCCTTCACATCCCTCCTAAAAACACCCTTTTAAACTATCACCCACAAGGACTTGAAAAAATTAGTGGGCCAGATGGATAGGAGAGAGATGGTCTGTCTATTCATTTATTTACAGACTTAAAAAATAAATTCCTGGTACTATTGCAAACCTTTCCTTTCCTCTCCCCTATTTTGTAGCGTCCTCACTTGTTACATATTTGAACTTAGGCCCAGATCCTGAAATCGGATCCAGGCAGATCGATTGCTGTATTGACATTGGGACCTGTTGACTTCAAAAAGAGTCCATACAAATGCAGGGGTGATCTGTCAGTCAGCAAGAAGCGGCCTACAGGACCACACATTCTTTGGGTTGCCACAGGATCTCCTTTCTTCCCTAAAGCACCTATTCCTTAATGCAGGGGTGGGCAAAATCCGGCCCAGGGGCTGAATGCGACACGTCAGGCCATTCTATCCGGCCTGCGGGGCCTCTAAAAATTTAGAAAATTAATATTTATCTCTCCCTGGCTGTCTGTCATGTGGCCCTCAATGGCTTGCCAAAGAACTCAGTAAGCGGCCCTCCACCCAAAACAATTGCCCGCCCCTGCCTTAATGGGCGCACAAGCAAAATAATGAATTTTACCATCAAAACCATGGACATTTAGTAGACAATTAACATACCATGAAGCACACATAAAATAGGCAGACTGCCTTCCATAAAAATAAGTTGAAAAATGTATGAAAGTTTAGCCAACCAACATCATTAAGCTTCAAAACATCAACAAAACGTACTAAGCTTGACAGACTTACTACATCAGTCATTTATTCTCCACTTTAGAAATACCCAGCTTTTACACTGTGAATCTCTTTGCATATCTCCAGTTTCATATTCTAGTATTCCTAAGCAAATTCCATGCTACTTTTACAAAATTACAAGGAAATACTGAAAGAGTTGATTCAACAACCAGTCTCTTGATTTTTGCCAGCCTTGTCGTCTTCTCTGTCAAAAAGTCCCATGGTATCTTCTCAGTGAAAAAGAAAGATGTAAGGGGGAAAGATTTAGATATGAATCCTACCAGTGCTTATGCACGTTTAAGTTTGCTGCTCTGAGCAGTATTTCAATGGTAATACACATGGTAATCAAGTGAAGCTTGCATGCAAGCACGTGCAAAAGCGGGGCTTAAAGCATGAGCTTGGAAGGTGTTAATCACCCCAAATGTTTGTTGGCTTCAATTTATCAAAGGGTCACCTACTGCTACTGGGAGTTGACGTTACAGACCACCTTCAAATAGCTATCGCGTTGAGGGGCTGGTCTACCCCATACAAATACAATAGATTTAAATCAACTCGTTTGATCTACGCTTTAGAAGGAGGGTCTTATTATTTTCTTTATGACGGTGTAAGCGTGCGTAGAAAGACGACGGGTTTGCTGCGAGGCCGTGTGCAGGCACATAACAAAGTCCGGGTCCACTGAAAACATCAAACTCTTCGCTTCAAAGGACCAAGCGGTGTCCTCGGAAGCCAAGCTGGGACATTGGCATCATCTTTAAAAAAAAAAACATTTATCCTCTTTCGTTTTTTCCCCCGGGGCGGACGCTGCTTCACGACCGCCCTGACGGCCGCGCCCTGCGTGGCACGCCTGGACCGTGGCGGGCTTCGAGGCTGCAAAGAGATGCTCCGGAGACAAGTGCCACCTCGCCGGGATGGACAGGGGGGTCTGCCGGACGACGCGCTCGCCCCCTAGCCTGCCGTCCCCACCAGTGGAAGGGGACCTGGGGGCTCCCTGAGGGATGGGAGCAGGAGGAGCCACCCTCACCTGGCCCTCGCCCTGCCCCAGCCTCGCCCGCTCCCCTACCCAGCGGGCCGGGGGCGTCTGCAGCTCCTCCCCCGGGGGCAG